AAATACGTAGTGTTATAGAACATGTCAAAGGCTATTTAATAACATATTTGTTTTAATATTTATACATATAAAATAAAATTCCTTTACAGTTAAAATATTAATTAAATATTTGATGTCTTTAGACCGTTTGCACACCATTTTTGGACTGGTCCAGGGGCCAACCTTGGCTTTAACCGCTCCCAGAAAAAGGAAGTCAAAATCTGACTTGAAGCTCTAATAAAAATTTTCAAGGAGATATTTTTACATATAATCTTTTTCTTATCTCTAACCCCAACCCTAACCCTAAAAAAAACCTTTAATACTTATTTGGTTTGTTTCATGTGATCAGGAACCGGGCATCGATTCAATATTCGCGAATCGGGGACCAACAGATATGCTAAAAATAGTGTTTTGTAAAGTGTCCGGTGACTTTCTTCCGTTAAGCGTATATTTAAAAAAAATGAATTTCTATTAAACAAGCATCAATCAATCAAATTTGGTGCTATTCTATGCACAAACATTCTTTAAAGCCAAGAAAATTATCCGATCTTCCTTTATATCGGATTTTGAATGAGTGTTTGCAAAAAATAATGATTATTATTATTTTTTATACAAAATTCTCATCGAAAATTCTTTTAAATTGATGACTGACTATGATTGGGACAATGTGCTTTTTGGTAATTCTTTGGCCGGAGTTAATCTTCCTGATGAATCTATAATTGTAGCAACCTATCACGTAAATTTATTTCTTAAGGTATTAGAATTTTCCGGATGTGGCGGTGTTATTGTGGCTTACTAAATTTTGATCTTTGTGTTCACCGTCTATGAAAGAACAATTTGTATAAATGCTTATTCAATTCCAAATGAAAAAAAAATAAACGATAAAAACGTTAAAGATTTAAATTAACTATCAATTAAAAAGAATATGAGCCAAGTAAATATTCCAACTGATAAACCACTTCCTTCAATTTCGCCTCCCTCTTACGAGGAAGTTCTTGCACTATCTTCTTCTGAAGCCTCTAATGTAAACAATAGCCATATTAACATAGGGTCTACACTGATAACACCTTTACCATTACCTTCTGCACCCTCAGCTGAAGACTTGCTATTTGAACATGAAGCACCTAAGCCTCAATTACCTTCTTCACAACAAACTAATATTCCCCAATCACCTTCTTCACAACAAATTAATATTCAAAATACACAAGAAGAAATGAAACCAGCAACAAAATCTATGAACGCTTTCTTTGAACCATTACAAAACAGATATAATTGGAGCTCATGGGCTTGGTTATTGTTTATTAATGTGCCCACGTCACTTCTTGCGTTATCATGGATACTCATTACGCTTATAGTGTCTCTTTG